ATTCTTGCTCAGACTACTTTTAACAGTCTTTTGATTGAAGACTTTTCATTGAAACCATCATAGTGAAAGTTACTTTTCTCCAAGACTCTGACTGACATATAGTCCATTTGAAAATATATCCAGAGAAACAGATTCTAAGAACTCCTGCAGAAGCCTGTGAAGTTAATAGGCATCACTATGAAGATTTCTTTTTTGAGTTTGACCTGGAGCCTTCGTACCGCGGTCTAAGCCCCATCCCTGGGTCCTGTCTCCAGTGGGGAGAAGGCGCCATGGTCCTGACGTGCACTAGGTAACAGAGCTCGGCAGACCTGGTGACTCCTGGCGCAGAGTGATGAGAGGGCATCTTTCTTCCCAGTGGCCCTTAATCGGAAAAGTTTTTTTTTTCTTTTTCTGGCATGATAGTGACCGTCTCCCAGTAAACCAGGAAATTCGGTGCCCATTTATCCCAGTTGACAGGTCATTCTCCCTCCTGTGTCCGGCAAGTCTGCGGATTAATTGCAACCCTCCTCAGAAACTGAGCCTCACATTTAGCTGAGCACACTAATAAAAGGATTATTATTTTTTAACAGCTCAACTGCCATAGTTCACTCTTATCTGCCTCCGAGTTGGTGAGCAAAATTAATGAGGGTGGTGTGGACATGCATAACTGCTTATGTTTGTGACCTTCTTAGAAAATACTACTTTCCTGCATTTCCCTCCCAGCTACCTGTAAGTTACTTTCATTCTCCAAGTCCAAGTAGATCCAAAGATAGGTTGAGACAACAGTTCGCAGGTGGCTGTCAGAACCAATGGTGGTTTGTGTGGAAAACACATAGCTAGTTTGGCAGTGTGGCTGGAATTCCAGACAGAGCCAATTCAAACATTTCTACCTCCAAGGGAAAGGTCAAACCGAGTGTTTCCATTACGGTGCTGTTATAATAGATCTCCTGCCTGGATGATCGGGTTTGAAGAGTTGGAAAAGTATGCAATACACCCAACTCTAAAAAGGGCACAAAAATAATGTGACCTTTTGGAGCAGTGAGTCAGAATCTTGCAGAGAAGGCAATGAGGTGGAGTGGGAAGGATGAAGTGGTAGGTGACCACTTACCTTGCAGGCAACTGGAAAAAATGAACTTGTGTACCATTTTCTACCTGAGAATGATCTTTCTGAGATCTCCAAGAATTCGCTCAAGGCCATACGTCTAGTTTGGTGAAGCTGGGACACAAACCTATGATTATCTGACTTCAAAGTCTAAGCTCCTAGCTATTATGCCAAATTCCTACTTAAGATGAGCTGTCACTGTCTTGAAGTCACATAGAAGATGTACCATAAGAGCATTCAGAGTTATACCCAGTAAGCTACCTAATTCAGGATCACGGGAATCTGAGTTCAGTGGTCTTAAATTCTGAAAGATGTCGGCTTACCAGGATACAGGTCACACTCGGGTCTCATCCTAGCACCAGCACAGAGTATAAGTGAGATGCTCATTTAAACACTATCATCGGAATTCTGTAATGGCTTGAACATATATGCAATTACCAAACACCAAGAGTGCACCATATTAGAATTTATTATAATACAAACAAGTCTAAACACAATGTGTTATCTAATTAAGAAAATATGAACATTTACTATTTTTCTAATATAACACTCTATTCCATTATTTGAGCTGGAACAGCCAACATGAGTGTCTTTTATTCACTTCGGAGAGGACTCATGTTGAACCAGTAGGTACTACCTGTGCAAAGGAGTCTTCTCTGGCTGCAGGGTTTTCACAATGCAAGTTCATGCCCTCTCATGACCTGTCTTTATGGCTTGTCTGTCTCCTCCTCCTTCCCTTCCCCGTGAGCCATTTCAGTCCTCACACTGTCCGATGAGAAGACACGGTGCACATGTCTGCAGTGTCACTGCACGTCCTAGAAGGACACAGACACACAACCCAGGATGGCTAGTCGGCCATCCCTGTAGGAGGCACCACAGAAACCTGGTTCAGGCAACTCCCTAAGTGCCCTCAACAGCAGCTGTTTACATGACAGGCTTCAACATTCAAGGCTTTATTCCCAACACTGGCCTGAAAGAAAAGACAAAATCTTTTTCAAAAAACCTTTTCATTGTCCACAATCATTACTAAAACGAGTAAGTTAGGAGTCTGTAGACTATCTGAGGCACATTGTAGGAGGCATGTATTCACAAGCGTTCGGGTGCATTTTAATCAGAGTGCCTTCAAGAATCCACCTCTTCAGAGGGATGAAGTGCCCACTGGTAATTACAAAGTCACGGGGATGTGAAGTACAGTAGTTTGTACTTTAATATTGTGATGTCAGTAATATTGTGATAACCATGTGTAGTGCCAAGTGGGTACTGGAAGTATTGGGGGGAACATTTTGTAAAGTATATGATTGTCTAACCATTTTGCTGTCACCTGAAGCGAATACAAAATAATACTGAAAGTAATATGTAATTGTAAAAAAGAAATAAAGAATGCAAAAAAAGATTAAAAAATCAGACGTCTTTTAGATATTATTTTATCAAAATACAAAACATAGTCAGAAGGAAAGGAGGTGACAATACCGGTCGGTACAGCCTATGTTGTCGATAGAAGCAACACACATGTGCGTGAGGAGAGCCTTCCGGAGGCACACTCAGTTTTTACTTTTTAAGCCTCAACAACTAACTCTTACATATAATTAAAACCATGGGGCAGCGAGACTGACGCCGACACACACGTCCCTCTTACATATATTCTAGAAAAGGAATTGCCCGGCCTTGATAACTACTGCACCGTGGCTCAGTCACTATAGCTTAAACTAGCATTTTCCAGAGTGACGGATTTAAAAAATAAATATCTATCTCTATATCTTTTAGTGTAGGTAGCCTTTGGTCAATGTTTTTTCATAAAGGAATGTGGTGGAGTAACAGCATACACACGTTGAATGAACACGCATTTGACCACACGTACTTAGCAAAAAAACCCCAGAAATGCAATTTAAGGGAGGTAGGGAGCCTGCCTCCATGTCCACCTGCTTTGGGGAGAGTGTGGCAGGGCCAGGACCTGCTTGTCCCTCAGTCACACAACTTCCACGAACCTCTGTGAATGTGGCCACACTGCTGATCCTAATATTCTCAGGTACTTTAGAGTCATACATCATGGACCTATCTTGTCCTCAACCCAAAAAACAGCAACCTGCTCCATTGCTCAAGAAAGATTCTCATTGCTCAAGAAAGATTCAGCTGTGTCAGATTGTTTGAAGGGACCGAATGTGGTCCCACGAGGCTCCTTCCGGGGGCGCTGCACAGGCAGCTTCGGTTCTGCTGCATGTTGTTTGCTTGCTGTTTGCACTGACTTTAGAACCTAACCTTTGGGTAAGATGACACTCTTCCGCAGGTCTGAAGCAGGAGTCGGAATTAGGATAATCAGGACTCCATCATCTAAACTTACACTGAGTCAGTACTGAGGGCAGTGGCTGAAGTTCAGGGCTTTTGTCGAACAGGCTGCTTCTCCTGCACAAATGTGTCAAAATTCTCTTTCCAAGGGTAGACTTGGCTTCTCCTTTAGAAACAGAAATGCCCGAGTAACCAAGGGTTCCAGGTGGACCATCTGCTTTTTGTCTGATCACCAAGAACATTACAAAATCCTAAAATTATTCTGGAAGATTTCTTCCAGAGCAGGGAATCTAAGAGGAAAAAGAAAAGGCTAAATAAGAGGAACTCCAGTGTGAATTTTCTTTTCAAAACACATCAGTGGATACATAGTAGCTAGTATCGTCACCTGTGTCCGTGCATGTGTGTGTGAGCATGAGCACATGAGTGGTGGTCCTCAGGGAAGCGTCTATTAATCACCACCTCGAACTGTTCTAGCCTTGGACAGGCAAGGGGAGAATAAATAAATACGTTTACATTTTATCATTCCGCAAAGGATTAGATTAAATAGCTTTGCCAAAAACGGGCACCAGCCTTCTGCGCCAGGTGCGTGGAAGGGCAGACAGCAGGCAGCGCGGGCACGTCCATGTCAGCTGTGTCTGCATTGTGGCCGAATGGCCACGTCGGCTGGACTGTGGGGCAGAGCGGGAGCTGCCTCTCTTCACACCTGGAGAGTTACTGCGCCTGACCTCAAAGATAAATCTAGTTCAGAAGTCACTTCAAGTAGAACAATCTGGTGCGGGCTCCAGCGAGTCGGGAGGCAGGGTTGGCCACTCCCCATGTGGGGGCTCCCTGGAAGCTGAGGTGGTATTGCAATAAGAAGCTGCTTTGACTGAAAGGTTTTGCAGTTCACAAGAGGATGGATGGAAACAATGGCAAGAGTAGGTTTTTTTTTTTTTTTTTTCTGGGCTCAAGAAATCATCCTTTCCCCCCATTACCAGGCAGGGCCTTTGTTTTGGAGACAGATAAATGTATACATCATGGTGAACAGAAGGACTGCATGTGGGTTTGGAGCATTTCCAAAGAAGCTCTGGCCAGGGTCTGGGTGCGGTTCAATACAACCCTGTTCTCACCGAGTCATTTTGCAGGTAGGGTTGCTAGAGCCACTTCAAAACCACAGCTCTCCCTAGGACAAAGGGCACCTTGGAAAAATCCCAAATTGGTCAGCGTGGTTAGCTGCTGGAAGGGCACTGGGCAGTGACGGATAACCTCAGCTCTTTGCAGATAGTGTGGGCTCGCTGTGTCGCAGACATGACTGTCCCCGCGAGTGTGAGTGGTGCCAGGCTGAGTCACAGGCATTCACGTGTTTCTCTGCTCCGTGTCCGGATGGCCGCAGGATGATGGCAGACCCTCCAGCGGCATCTCGGACCGGAGAACCGCAGCTGTCACGGAGACTGCGAAAGCAGCTGCACAGGTGGAGACAAGAGGCATGCTCTCCTTTCCTCTCTTCCGTCATTTCTCAGCCACCAGTCTGAGAACCGCTCGGTCAGTGGGGACAGGAAGTCAGGTGGCACTCCTACGGAGAGCTGCTGCTCAGCCCAGAGATCGGCTGCCCCGGCCTGGCAACGAACTAGACAGAGGCACTGGTGCCACTGCACGGTCACGGGGACGCTTTAATAGGTTTTCCATCTTTGTCGTACTGGTACACCAGCATCTTGATACAGTGTGAGTTGGCTGGAGAGATCCAGGGGCTACTGGTGATGGAAAAGTTGTGGTTGGGGTGGAACTGTACCGGCTGCTTCTGGCACTTGAAGAAGGCCTTCAGCGTCGCAGCCGCCATGGTGCGGAAACGCTTGCTGATGAAGCAGTAGAGGAAGAAGTTGATGGCCGTGTTGAGCAGGGCCAGCATGTTGGCCACGTCGGACACGACGTGCACCAGCCGGCGGTTCTCGATGGGCGCCCCGTACAGGTGGTAGAGGATCATGGCGATGCGGGGCGCCCAGAGCGTGGCGAAGATGGAGGTGATGGTGAACAGGATGGCCGTGGTCTTTCCCGTGGAGTAGCCGCGCAGGCGGAAGTTGCTTTTCCTCCTGAGCTTGTACACGATGATTGAGTTCAAGACGAAGAAGATGGAGCAGGGCACCAGGTACACAGTGAAGCAGTGGACCCAGATGAGGACATGATGCAGGGAGGTGCTGATGTAGTCTTCAGTCCAGATATTGGGCCACCAGTAGTAGGGGATGCTGGTCAGGAAGCAGGTGAGGTAGACGCTGACAATGACCTTCCGGGTGCGGGCGGGGTAGGACACCGTGTGGTACCTGAGCGGGTGGCAGACGGCGATGTAGCGGTCGATGGTCAGCGGCACGGTGATCCAGGTGGAGGTGTGGATGGAGGAGAACTCCAGCACTTCGACGATCTTGTTGGGCACCTGAGGCAGCTGCATGTTCAGGATGAAGTCTTCCAGGAGGAAGTCCACAAACACGATGAAGAAGAGGACCAGGATGTCGGCAGCAGCGAGGGCCAAGAGGTAGTTGTAGGAGGACTTCTGCCTCCTGGCCACCAGCTGGGAGAGGACGATCACGGTCAGGATGTTCGCTGTGGAGAGAAGAGAACCTGCTTTACCTCTGGAGCAAGGCGGCTGTGCGGCTGGGGTGGGGCCGGTGCCTGTCTGCTTCACACGCCCGTGGGGGTGGAGGGGCAGAGCCCGGGCTCCCGGGAGGTCACCTTGCGCTGCAGTGTCACCCCTGGGAAGGTCTAGATACTACTGGACAGTGCTTTCTGCTCATATTGTCATGTGCTTTTGTCCTCACACAGTCAGGACAGGTGAGCTGCCGCTGTCCTCACTGCAGACCTGAAACCGGCTCAGAGAGCTCAAGGAACTGCTTAGAGTTAGGAAGCAGTGGTGGCGGGGCCAAACCCAGACACACGCACCCCAAGTCCCACGCTCTTTCCTTTGTCTGATCGCAGGGAGAAGGGGCGGCAATGGCTCTTCCTGCTGCACGTGTCCAATAGGGGACTGGACTCTATGACCTCTTAGAACCTTTTAGAAACTGGATTTCAGGCCCTCTCCTTCTTAAGTAGATTTAGAATTGAAGGGGTGGAGAAGATCATGACCTTTCAATTAATTTAAAAATAATAATACTGTCAACAATAAAAAAATTAATAAATTATGTTTATTTTTTGAGTAGGTGATCTACACACATGACCCATAATTAAAAATAATAGCGGAGACATTAAATTATCCCTGCAAGCACCCCTGGGCCCGTCAGGACAGTCACGATTAATAAACAACCTGTGCTTTCGTAGTCCCTGTGATACGGCTGTGTACAGTTTTTGCATAGACAGCAGCACTATATTATTTTTTGGGGAGGTCAGATTTGTTTAGAAAATGCATCCACTTCATTTCTGATCAGTTTTGAGAACAAATTTCTCTTTAAATAGGACACATCTGGAAAGTCATTGGGGGTCCTCTGAAATGCTGCTCCAATGGGCAGTATCTGCACATCACTGTACAGGTCTGTGCTCACACGCTCTGGGAGCCAACCCTGAGTTCTGAACATGGTTAATGCTCTTTCGAAAGTGCAGCCCCTTGTCTGAAGTCCAGCAGCGGCAAAGCTGGGGTCTGGGTCTGGATATCTCTTCTTCTTTCTCTCCCTCTTTTTAAAATATTAAACACTAATTCACATGTAAAAAAATGTCTTGCAATATACACACCCTGGTGTACTCAAGTTAAACATATTTTAACATTCTGTCATCTTTACATTGGTTCTTTTTTTAAAAAAAGAGTTGACGTCTTATTTAAATGCCTGTGGTCCTATCCCCTCACCCTTCCTTCTTTTCCTCCCTTCCAGGCCGCACAGGGCTGCGTCCTCAGCACCATGTGGTGTCCTCTGACTTTCCTTGGTGCTGAATCTGCTCATTAGCATGCTCCTCTTTCAGTCAACATTCGTTTTTGAGACCTGTGTCTGTCGATACATGTAGCTCTTGGTCACTCATTTGAACAGCTATATACATTCCACTGTGTAAACTTACTGCAATTTATTTATTCATGTACATACATATATAGACATATCTCTACAATAGATATACACACATCTATATCTGTCTATAGCTGTTTATATATACACATAGACATGCACACATGTACATAAACATGTCTATGTGTTTATACATATACACACATTATACAGACATATGTGTGTGTGTGTGTACTTGTGTGTGCCTATGTGTGGGAAAGGGTTCCAGGCGGTGGGGATGGCAACTGCAAAGCCCCTGAGGTGGGCATGAACTCGGTATTCACGGGGCAGAAAGAAGGCCTCTTCCCTGTCCTATTTCCATCCTGTTTGACAGATGAGGAAACTGAGGCTCGGATTTTTGGGTGACTTGCCTGAAGCCACACACTGAGTGAGTGGGGTAGCCAGAAGGTGACTCTAGCTCTGTCTGAATTTCAGGTGTATGAAGTGCTTTGTTGAGTTTGGTCGTAGGAGAGGGAGGGACGAGCTTCCCCGTTCTCTGGTGTAGAAAGTGCTGTGGTCGTTTCTCAGAAGCTGCTTTCCTGCCCGTTGAGCGATGAGCACACTCTCTCCTGGCCCCACCTTGCCCTCGCCTCTTAACTCTTAGGAGGCCGGAATGAACAGATGCGGGGTCTCCCCAGGAAAAATGTTGTATATGTTCTGACTTTTCACTGCTGTCTCTCACTGCCCAGTCGAACCCTGCTTGATGTATGATACTGGAAGTTTTCCATATCAAACTCTTTAAAAATGTCTCTGCCCCGTCTAGTCAATGTTCTAAGGCAGGCAGACATCAACTCCAAGCAAAATTGCTAAGTAACCCTACTTGACATTTCCTTAAGTTGCTGGTAGTTCCTGCTCTTGAGAAACCAGCCCACATACACTTAGTTTCCTACTTCTGTGCAGGGGGACTCCCTCCAGGCACCACCAGGAACATCGGGGGTCCCGGGGTGAGGCGGATGTGTGGGCACCCGGGACCCGCAGGGTGAAGGAAGGGTGCCTGCGTACTGATGCTCTACAGAAGAAATGAGAAGATAGAGCTTTGAACTCTTAGGGCTTGATATTTGTTATAATTCCCCACATCAAAAAATCCTTTCGTTTCCACAGAGGTACGTTTTGCCCTAAAGAAAGGAAGTGGTGTGTGTTCATGGCGGGGAAGTGAAGGACCTGTCGTCGCTGATGGGGACTCCACGCCTCGCTTTTCTCTCTGACTAAGCAAAACTCTGTTAACCAATCATGAACCTCCTGATCAAAACGCAATGCTTCTACAGAGGTGATCTTTTCCGTTCATGGTGTCATCGGACAGGCTGAAGTTCCGGGGTAGCAGGAAGCCTGCGCTTGGTGACGGCAAAGCTTCTTTGTCATGCTCTTGGGGGGATTTATTGCCTGTACTTTGCAGCTTGCTGTGCTAAAACTTGAGAGGGTGGGTGTGGGAGTGGCTGAGAGGACACCGGTGAGGCTGTCGGACCCCAGCTCCCAACGGCACAGAGCGAGGTCAGGTCTTGCCCAGCTGTTTCTCTGTCCCAAGCGTCCCTGCAGGTTCTTTGTGAGAGGCCGCTGGAGAGAGTATTGACTGGGAGTTCTGGGTCTAAATCTCTTAGTTCTGCAATGCTTCTTTTTCTTTTTTGTCTTTGAAAATTAAATTTTTTCAATTACCAAAGTAAAACACACTTGTATAAAAGTAAACATATCAGTGCATAGTAATATTATTAGCTGACTTTTCCTGAGCGTTCAGTGTAAACAGGGCACTTTTCAGGGCTCACACACAATATCTCACTTCCCGTGCTGTGAGGTTGATACTATGGTTTGAGAGCATCAGTGCTCAGAGAAGTTCAGTGACTTGTTCGAGGTCACACAGCAAGCAAGTGGTGAGTCAGCACAATACACCAGGCCTTGTCTCCTGACTTTATACGGTTAGCTACCACTAAAAATCAGAAAATGAAAGTCTGCCTCAATCCTATCTTTTCAGAGGAAGTGCAGCGTCCAGCCTCTTAGAGGGCCCCAGTGCCATGCCCCCTGGTCGTCATGCCCTGTGTGGTCTCCTCCTCTGGAGTTGGAGCTGGCTCTGGACTTAATTCTGACCAGCTGACTATGGCAAGAGTGACCCTGCATGCTAGGGTCATAACTGGTTCTTTTTTGTTGTTGTTTTTTAAAATATTTTTTCTTTATTGATTTTAGAGAGAGAGGAAGGAAGAGAGAGAGAGAGAGATAGAAACATTGATGAGAGAGATCATTGATTGGCCACCTCCTGCATGCCCCCCACCTGGGATCAGGCCCACAACCTGGGCATGTGCCCTGACCAGGAATCGAACCGGTGACCTCTTGGTGCATGGGTCCACGCTCAACTACTGAGCCACACCGGCTGGGCATAATTGGTTTTTTTGAATACTTGCTTTTGGGGTGCTTCCTCTTGGAACCCAGCTGTGAGAAGCTCAACCCACACAGAAAGCCATGTGTAGGGACTCTGGCTGAAAACCCAGGTGAGCGCTAGCTGACATCCAACAGCCACGTGAGCCGTCTCCAGCCAGCTCAGTAGAACCCCCAAGTGACTGCATCCCCGCTCCTCCTGGATGCAGGCACAGGGGCTGCCCCGGTCGCCCAAGTGCCCTGATAAATAATCATCTACTGTGGTTGTAAGCCTCTAAGTGTTAAGGCAGTTTTCTGTCCTACACTAAATAACCAGCACAGAGCTTTGCGAACCATTTGGTTGATATCTCCAGGATGTTTCTATGCCTATATTATAAAGATAATTAGTGATAATGATGATCACCACAAAATGAGATCATACAATAATATTGTATGCCAGATGATTTTTTTTTCTATGTCAGTAATACTCCTGGAATAGTCATCCATGGCTGGACAGTATTTATTTAATTTTTTGGCCACTACAAACCTTCGGTAAACATCTTTGTATATATCTGTCGAATAAATTCCCCAAAGTAAAAATGCTGGTTTAAAGGATAACACCCTGTTTCTCCCTCCTTTCTTCCCTCTCTTCCTAAAGGCAGCTCAGAAGATTTGTAAGAAAAGAGCTCAAGCTGGAGCCTCAAGAGGACTTAGGTCAGATACCAAGAAGAACTTTCCAATTGCAATGGCAGTTACGTGAACTGGAGCAGGCCACTGACACCATGGTTCCTTGGTCCACGCAGGTCTTCAGAGAAGGGCAGAGTTGCTTATCTTAGCTGAGTAAATTCCTGGGATTACATTCTGCAAATCCTCTGTCTCTGCCTTCTAAATTATGTTCTTGAGAATTTCCGAGAAGAGAGCCATGCTCCCCTTTCTGCTGCCATCCCCAGTGACTCGAATGCATCCTTCCTCCTTCCGGTTGCCTGTCTTTACTCTTCTGTGCTAGCAGAGTCAGCCCTTGTGATTTGCAGACACGTGAGAACTCCCCACACCATGGACAATTCCAGGGGTGTTCTTTCAGCTGTTCCCCGGAGGTGCCCCTTGTGCGGATCAGGTGGGAATTCGAGACTGAACTGAATGGAGGGGCACTGCCTCTTGGAGTGGAAGAAAGGGGAAAATAAAGGGTGATGCCTGCAAGACTCAGCATTCAGTCTCTTGGCTGCTGGTGTCAGGAGGTCG